TTGGAAAAGAATCTCTTTCAAAAGTGTAAATGTTCCTCTTTCTGTGGGTGATGTCACCATTCCCGTGGCCCCAGCCTTTGTTACTAAATAGTACTTAACAACACATAATCATTATTTTCTCCACTTAGAGCTCTGAAGGGTATTTGTTCTGATGAAATCGAGAGATACATTTCTCAGGGAGGTAGGAGTAAAAGCTGGAAAAAAAAAAAAAAAAGGGACACTATGCCTGGAACATCTCTTGACTTGTATTACTTAAAAGAAGCAAGTAGACAACTAAATTTTTATCCTGTGGCAACAGCTCCTAATGCATTAAAAAAAAAAAATCGCATATGGCTCCAAAGGTTGTGGTTTCTATGCAACTGTGCATTATATACTCTTTTTTAAAGTGATAGATGCCTTTTACTTGGCTTGGCTTGTCCTTCCCAGGTTTTTTCTTATAAAATGTAGGGGGAAAGTTGGACAAAAGAAGCTGTGCTCTGGTCAATTAAGAGTGATGTTTCTGAAGTGCCTGCTGATCATTCCAGGGAACATCTTGGATTCCCTTCAGATTACATCCTACCTGTCCATTCAAAAAACTATGAGAGGATCTGTCTTCTGTCTTATAAACCATAGCTGTAAATCTCTTAAAGTTATAATTTGATTTTAATCCTCATATTTTGAAGAGATCTGAAGTTTCACATGAGCTTGCTTTTTTTTTTAAGTATTCTCTATTTTTAAATTCATCATTTTAAATAATTACAATAGCTGCAATTTGTCAAAGGCCTGACCTATGCTGGCTCAATTCCTGTGAAATCACTCATTACCACAGTTCTATGTGGTAGACATTTTATGTTAGCAGGAAACTGAGAGTCGGGGAGATTGTCAGGAAACGTGTGCTTCGTAACAGACTCCAAAGACTGTCTTTATTTCGTAGGAGCCGAGGCAAAGGCAGAGCAGGAGCCTTGGAAATAACGCCCCCTTCTGTTTTAACCTGATTCTTCTGAGGAGTGTGGTGCATACACAAGCCATTGCAAGCGTTTGGTGGGGGAGAGGTGGCTATGCTGTTTCCAAGAGGAGCCAACAACCCAGGCAGAAAGACCAGGCTGTAGCAGCCATGGCTCTCGCCAGTGAAAGCTAACCCCATGTCACCTTTGGCACGTGTATACCTATTGCCAATAAGCCCAGAGGAGGCTGCATTTTCTCTCGAGTCACCTGGGAATTTAGTCATAAATGAAACAGATTGACTTCAGCTGGCTTCTTCCATCACAGTAGGGAAAATACCCAGCGTTGGACCAAGCATCATCCATGTACTCCTTTTTCTTAATAATTAACTTTGGCTGTCTCATATAAGTTGGATATTTGGTGCCAAATATGCCCTTTTCCACAAGTTCAAGGCTAATCTAACAAAGTTAACACCTCCCGAGGCCCACATAGAGTTCTTGGTCTTTAGGGACCCTGACAAACTATTTACAGTTTCTACCAAGACAGACCTACCAGAATGCTGTAAGAATAAACAGACTTCAAAGTCTTCACAAGAGGAGAAGCTGTTCTGGCTAAGTCTATAATTTAGACTATCTTCGGAGAAGAAGGACTTCATGAAAAGAGAGGCCCAGAGTGGCCAGCCTCTTTCAAACTCTTAACTTTTTCTTTATTTAATTGTGAAGACTAAATGACAGGTAGGACAGTGCTTTTGTAGGAACGTGGGAGTCTTGAAGCTATAGAAGGAAGTTACACTGTGCATGGGGGTAAGCATGTGGGTAGGAGTTATAGACTAGTGCTCTACTGCTAGTCTAGAATAATCATGCATACACATCTTACGATGGCACCTGAACAGAATTAATAAACTCCTATTAAAGGCACTTGATACATCATTTTTTTTTTAAAGCACACATTACCTATTATATTCAGGAACAGAAAAAAATAATAATTTTACATCCAGGAACAAAGATTAAAAAAGAGCCTTTAATTTTGACAAAACAAAAATCTGATACAATTGGATTTTCATATGTTAATTCAAAAGCTGACATGCTATACTTCTCTGAAAGTATGGTAGAGAAGCTGGCTTTGTCTTGTAGATATCATAACCTTAAAAGATTAAGCCTGAGGGGCGCCTGGGTGGCTCAGTCGTTAAGCGTCTGCCTTC